ATTTATTCTGTTTATGTAACACTCTTTAAAAAATATATCTCCTAATGGTCTTTAAAACAAAAAAAAAAATCAAGGTCAGAAATATAGATATAGATTGTATATATAGTTTTCTGAAAGTAAGAAAAAAAATTAAATCATGCTGTTAGCTTTTCAAATAAAACTTTAGATAACAAATTTCTTTAACTTAAAAAACTGGTTTTAATGTTAAAAGCTGAAAAGTAAGGATTGTAAAGTGTTCCTGTCTTTCCACCTTCTTTTAACCTTAAATGGTGGACATAAATTCTTTGAATTTGCTATTAGTAATCAACATTGAACATTTTTTTGTCAACTTTGAAAGAAAATGCAAATGGCTTTTTTCACATACATTGTAAATGCTAATTGTTCAAGGATACATATAAATTTCCTCAACAACAATGAACTTGTTAGCAATGTTGCATTGTTGAAACAAAAGATGATGTTAATCAGTTCAACGTACATGATAAAGCATATGGGGACAAGATAATGAATAAAGCTGTAATCTGATAAATGTTTTACATAGGACGAGGAAGGATTCACATTGAATAGAATAAAATATATATATCAATGCGGAAAAGAATCATCTTAAGGCATCTTTTATACTAATTTAATGTTTTAAGCATATTTTTTATTAAGGTCTTCCGCTCAGGCGGAAGACCTTCTACTGATTCTGATGGTTAAGATTATTCCCTATTATTCTTTTTTTTTTTTTTTTTTTTTCCTAGACGCCAACTTTGAGACCTCGTAACTCGCTCATTTCTTAACGGATTTCGCTCAAATTTTCAGAGTTTTTGGACGTTACAAAACTCAATTAAAATGTTTTAATACATTTCAAAAATTCCCTTCCGCTTTCGAGTTATTTCCCTTTAAGTGAAAATTTGGTACTGTTCGTTTCCAGACAAAGGCTCAGAAACGACAAAAGCTGGAGCAGAATGTCTACTGCATTTAAATACTAGAAGAATTGAAGTTGTGCACATCGGTTTTTCTTTTTCGATTTCTGCGCTCCAAACGGTGCTAGATAGGGGTCAAAAATGAGAATGCCTAAAAGCGCCAAATTTTACATATATTTCCTTGTGTATCTTTTAAACTAAAAATAATTTGTTAAGACATATTTCACAAATATTGTGCATAATTTTAAGATCTATCATTTGACATCATTAAAAAGGGGCTGGCCCCTCAAATTAGGGGTCAAGGGAGCATGAAAGTTTTTGCATTATAACTCAAAAACGGTAAATATTTTCGATATGGTTATCGATTTGAAATGGGTCTTTAACATCTTATTGATCTCATGAAAACGTTATTTTGTTCGAATCTTGTGTTATTGAATGAGCAGCAAACTTTATGTACAGGTAACTGATTAATTTTATACGGCAAGTGAAGAATTCTTTATGCGTACGCGTATAACACGTATAACTGAAATAAACTGGATAAGAATAATATACTTAACTAAACTGAATGTTAAACTTTGTTGAAATAAAGTTTTTAACGTATTCTCTAGCTGGATGTCATACAGATTATTCAGAGACAACTTTCTCCTTGTATTTAGTTTGAATTACAAGACGGGAGATAGGAAAAATACTTATCATCTCTCATTCGATTGATACTCAATGTTGCATTATTTATAACAAAAAATCAAGCTTAAAATAATTCACTGTCATTTTATTCATGCATCGTGAATTTTCGTCGGACCTTGACTGCTTTGTTTACAGTTGTGCAACCTGTTTATCGATCGCGCATGCATTGACCTATATACATTCCGGAGGTCAACATTACCGCTCTTTGATTTTTACGCGAGTCCCAGAGTTATCTAAAACGATGCTAGTCATCGATTTACTCAGTTTAAAATCAAGAATTTGTTATTTGCGTAAATCGTAAGAATATTTCTAGACACAAATATAAAGGTTTTTTTGAACATGTACGAGTATTTAAAGATAAAATGTCTGATTCTATTCTTTGACGAATGAATAAGAGGGCTGCGATTTTGCTCAGGTACAGATGATTTCTCTGGACGAGTCCATCGGTTACACTGAAAGGTGACGCAGGATGACCTATCGATAACTCTGCCAATTTTGATAGTGATTGTAATTGCACATGTACATAAATTAATGTTTGAATTCTACCTTTGTGAAGTCCATTATAGTTTCGTTATTTAAAGAATCGGGGATATCACTACTGCAACTTAATTGTTTCTAATTTGAACGGATGATTCTATATTATTGGAAAGGTACACATTTTTTAGGCGCCGTCGTCTCCCTCTCAACTTTGAAGTAATTGCAATCGTTATATGTATACGGGCCTACATCAAGTTATTCTAATTGTTGCTTAATTTATTTCAGAAAAAATTGCGATGTTGTTTAAATTAGCAATTACAAATAAACATGACAAATGCACACAGTAAATTGTAAGTGGAAGTGACGTTTTCAATTCTCATGAAAATCGAAAATAAAATTAAGTAACTTTGAGTTTTGCATAATTTGCTACATAACTTATCATTGTATTTTTCCGAATGATATGCTCATAAATTTCTTTTATTTCCTCAAATAAAAAGCTAGAATATCACAATGACACGATTTTATGTGCATGTACATGATATTAACTAACTACATGCTGTTTTACACAGAAGAGCACCCAACATGAGATTTAAGAATACGAGAAAAAAAAAGAATAATTAGAAATTCTTCTAACAAATGCAAAATTTCTTCCTGTAATTTCATACAAATATTCCAAGCCTTTAAATTCTTTCGTGTTTATTGGACTAAAAGAGATTAAATTATTAAATTTCCTCTCATTGCGATACGTAACCCCCTGAAATGATACAATGCTTTCCTTCAGAGTCGAGAATGGCAGGTCAGGGCTGGTGTTGAAATCCATGATTACTCCATAACCTATTTTAATATTAACCAAAAATCATACGCGATATTGTTTTTAATTCGCAGGTTGTCAAATAAATTTAAGAAAAGGTCGGCAGAGATGAGTATGCCTCACTAAACTTTTTTATTCATAAACTTTTTAATTTCTAGAGTGTACAATCGAGCATCGAAGTGTGTACATGTACTACATGTACTAGTTTTTTTTTTGGAGGGGGTACCAGTTTTCGCTGCATTTGATTTCCTCAATTTTGCATTGCATTTCCGACAATTAAACAAAGTTAATAGAAAATAATTGGTGACAGTAACACAAGTGATTTATAAAACGAAAGTCAAGCAATAAAACGTTAAAGTTTGTATTTTGAAAAATAAATCAAGTCAAGTCACATAAAACAAAGACAGGTTGAAACGCTCACACATGGACATACATACAAACGTTTTGGTAACTCGGAATAGTCCAGAGTAAAACTATATTTTCTTGATGACGGAATGTCCAGTACATCTAATGTTCACGTCTGGGATAGTTCACGGCAGTTTCATCACACATACGCAATTATCATACAAGTCGAACGCTCTGAGGTTGAGGATTGACACTAATTCCTTAGATAAATACTGAGTATCAAATTCCTTTTTACTGTCTTAACTTAACTTGATAGGTAAATAATTTTAGCATATGTTAAAAATAAGCATTAGAAATAATTCTTTTCATAAAATTCAATTCTGTTACATTTCAAATGAATTTGTAAAATTAACTTTATGACAATTGTCATGCTGCAGATCTGTAGCTCACTAGCTGTTCTAAAAAAATTGAGATGGATCACCAGAGAGCTACAGTGCCATCCATATTATCTCAAGTTCAGGCTCAGAAGGACTATTAAAAACGGTTGTAAGGAATGTTTAACTGTAGAAAAGTTTAAGGAATGTGTTAGAGACACACGGTAAATAATATTTTTAGATTCAAGCAGTTGAAAAACACGGATATTGAATATAGCTTCAGTGCAATTTTTTTCTAATATTTTCTAGTTTTTTATTCTTCGTATTTCTCAATTTATCATGTTCAAATAACGTGTATTTATTTTTATTAGGGCACTTAAACCTTATTTGTCAACCAGTCTGACAGTGTCCATCTGTCACGAGAACTTTAAACTTGATAATAACTATTGAATGAGTTGAAATAGGACTTTCATATTTCACATGTGCATTATTTGTGACATCTGATGTTCAAATATACTGTGATTTTTAACTCCGTGACCTTGATCTTGACCTACTTAAAAAATAACATTGCTTTAAATTGACCATAACTATTGAAAGCTTTCATTTTATAAACATGTACATGTAATACCTGTGTCAACGCCTTTGAAAATTCATTATGATTTTTGACCCTTTGACCTTGAAGTTTGACCCACTTTTCAAAAACATTAACCATAGTCATACCTTTTGAGAGAAAAGAGATCGATTAGGGCTTTTATTTTACCACTGTGTATTACCTGTAACAACATTTTTTAAAATACCGATACGCTGATTTTGACAACGTGACCTTGAGGCTTGACTTACTTTTCACAATTTTAATCTTGATCATAACTTTTGAATGAGAAGAGATAGGGTTTGCGTATTACACAAAAATCAAATGTATGTAACCTGTGATAAAATCATTTCAAATACTAGCATATAATGAACTTTGACCTTGAAGTTTAACCGGCTTTAAACATTGATTAAAATTGACCATGACTTTTGATAAAGAAAGGATAACGCTTTCATACCTAGATTTACACATGTATACACGTATTGGCTGTGACAAGGCCTATCGAAAAAAGTATAGCTTAAGAATTCGTCAATACGGTAGCACACAAATGGCTTTGCTTATCACCAGCGTGTGTCATGGTGTGACGTAAGGTCATTTTAACAAGGTCAAGGTCGCAAACATTCCTTTACTATCTTTTTTAATAGTAAAACATAAATAAGATGACATCTACCCTTAAAAGATTGCTTTAACATTAGAACGTGGAATGACCTTGACCCAAGGTCATTTCTCCCTGTCCGCAGCTCCGACGGAAGACCTACTCGTTGCTTTGCAACGAGCTCGGCTCTAGTTGTTTGTATGTTTGTATATATAGAACAAATACCACCTTGTAGCTGTGCGTGACATATATGTACCGGGTGGTCGCGCCCACATTATGTTTAAACCTTGAGGTATAATACACTGCAATACACCAACATTCAAAGGACAGATATTGATCAACAAAACAGGTTAACGTGGAGGGAAACTTACAGGTTTTATTTGATGTGTATGTTTCAAAACCGGAAGGAATACGAGCTTTTATGACTATGATTATCCACGCCAGGTTTGTTACATTAGTAGAGGACTTAAGTCTGTTTCATAATTGTTAGTAGGTCAGGTTTTTCGAATCCATACTTAGTGCGCCGTGTAAGGTTTGTGACTGACTTGTGTAAAAAATAAATCGTGACTGTGTGAACGAAAACGAAAGGACGGTTCTTTGGTAGGGTAAGTGCATGGTGGACTTTTTTTTTATAAACGTATACGTACCAATACTACTTTGTAGCAGTTGGCGCCATGTGAAAAAATATCCGTCTTCAAAAGAGTTGATTTATATTCAGTTTAGAAGGAGAGTTGTTTGTGAAAAGCACGGCCGGTCTCGTGAAATATACACGCCATAGATGTAACAGGTGCAATAAACCATACAATTAGAACATGGCTGGTACTGCAAAAATATTCAGTGATATGTCCTTGTTTTATGAAATCATGGACATACTATATTATTGTTTCAAAAATGTTCTCAGTATAGTATTGCAATTTTAATTATGAGAACAGAAAATGCAGTTCCTAAAATTAACTTTATGTTTAAAGATCGTCCACGATGCAACGTAAGAGATATTTGATTTTTTTTTTTTTTTACATAATCAAATTTTTCAGTAATTGAAATTTTATAAAATGTCTCTAGGGTTAATGCAAAATGATGAAATTACGAACTAAAGTTTAGAAAAAAAGGAAAAAGAAGACATATTACAAAAACAGAAAGTGTTCTATATTTGATTTTCAGTGATAATTTCATACAATGCTTACAATTTGCAAAATGAATTTGTATGGTGAGCAGGGATCAAACTGAATTTGTAAGATGATTTTTGAAATTACACTGAAATAACAAATATACATAAAATGTTGCAAAAACTTTTAATTGATCATGCATTTTTCACACAGGAAAAATAAACTAATTCGGGAAGATATACATAACAGTGATAAAAGCATTTATCGCCATAATTAATAAATGATTAACGTCGCTCGACCTAAAAATCACTAAACTTAATTTGTTTCCAAAGATACTGGCAACATGTTCTTTCATAGAGGTAAACGTAGTTTTACTTCTATATTTCATAATATCTGGATGAAATTTGATCAATTTTAGGCGTTGCACAAAGACATGTAAAAGGATGGTTAAATATAAATTTTCTGACAAACCATACCGTGATGTTTTTTGAAAAGCATCTGCCTTAATTCTATAACGATTTCCGGTTTTGTTCTACCTGAATGAACATGGAAAAAGTGTGCCGAAATAGTTTTCAACATCACCATGGAAACATGTACATGTATTTATATTTTCAGTATAAAGAATAATGTGCTTTAAAATTGTCTTCTTAACTCGAGACATTTAACTCTCTTAAAGTGGACATTTTTATCTATGTCGCATGTACGAAAGCCCAGAAGGCTCATTCTAGATTCGAGTTTCCAAATACGAGATTCGAAATTCGAGATTCAAAATTCGAGTTTCGAGATTCAAGATCCAAACGAACCAATCAAAAGCGGGTTCAACATTTGATTATTTCCCTTTATTATGTTTTTACTATCAAGAAATAGTTCAATATAATCATATCAAATGGGTCATTTGATTAAATTACAATGCAAGAAAAAGTGTTATATATATTAGAGGGAAATTTAAATAATTAATGGAATTTTGATCAGCAAAAAATATTTTTATTTATATTATAGATTCTTAAATATTAAATAGATTTCATATATCAGGAGTATATATATTTTTGAATTGTCTACTAAACGTAATTTTTATGCATTTCCTGTGTTAGGAAAACCACAGGTACTTGTGAAAGGTACCCCCCCCCCACCCCCCCACCCCTCGATATTCAACCCTGGGGCTTATTGGACATTTTTTTCACAAGTTTTATTTATTAAACTTATTCATCATGTATACAATAACAAAAAATTGTAAAATCCCCAGAATAATCGCTCAGCACCCCCCCCCCCCCCCAAATACCCACTATACATTATAAGAGAAGGATATGCCACTCCAGTCTGTTTACGTTGTACCCCCACTGGTGTTAAATGCATTTATTTTGTTTTAACTTTATATGTCGATTCACACTGTCTCTACATATACAATGTATTTCCAGGGGCGGATCCAGGAACTGAAGTTTGGAGGGGCGCCAGATTTAGGCAGGGGGTCTGGGGGCCGCCTTGAGGCCCCCAGTGGGTCCAGGGCAAAGCCCTGGTGGGGGCCCAGGGGGCGAAGGCCCCGGAAGCTCTTGGATTCTAGAGGTTTTGTAGGGTAAAAATGAGGTCTACCGAGTAGACATTTAAAACATTTAAAAGATTTTCTCGATAAACTATGTTTTATGCTATCTTGGACAATTTTAAGGGGGCGCGCGCCGGGTGCGCCCCCCCCCCCCTTAAATCTGCCACTGATTTCTGTCTTAGTCCATGCTATCGGACTGACTCTGCATCACGTAATAATCCCACATTTTTTCCGTAAACAGCTTTCTTTCTTGTAAAGTGGGGTAATAAATAGTGTTTTTTTGTTTTGTTTTTTTGGTTGAGCGATTATTCTGGGGGTTTTACGCCAGCGATTTTTTTCGTATTGTAAGGCTACACATAACAGAGAAATAAGCCCCGGGGTTCAATATCAAGGGGGGGGGGGTCTTGTCCACACGTACCTGTGTTTTTCTAAAAATTAAGACAAGAAACATGTATTGACGTAAGCGTCAAAAATCGGCCGCAAACCAATTAATGTTCCTTTTATGAAGCAACTAAAGACTATATGCTCAGCTGGTCTGTTTTTAAAATATCTTATATTTATCTTTTAATATATATATCCTCGTGATATTAAAAGCTTGTGCTCTACATTGCATGATTTTCTTAATTATGTAATGCATGTTCAGTATTAATCCCTGGTACTCTGCGTCAACAACTTTTGAACCGTGGGCCTGTATGGCATTTACATTAAAAGTTTAAAACTAAAATTAAATGTAATCTACAACTAGATATGCAGTGTAGTTTAATTTAATAAAAATGCAGCAAATATGTTGGTATCCTTGCTCTCTCTTAGAGGAAAAAACTAAACTCCCTCTAGATCCGCCACTTCATTTCTTCTCTTTGAGTTGTAGCGGGAAAATTCTTGGCACATTGTAAAACGTGCATTATCCTCGTCTGCTAAGGGCCAAATCTTGTAATATTTTGTAGCCTGCTAAGTCTTTTAATGAATTTACATTTAACCATCTTTTTTCAAAATGTTTATATGTGTACATATGTACACGTCATTTTAAAATAAATACGTACAACAAATCCCGTTTGAATAGAGAAAGTAAAATTGTGTAATATACATAACGCGGTCTTTGATTTAGACTACGCCTAACACATGTCTTAATTTTCTCCGCACTTCAAACATATCTAAATTTCTAAGTCAGTATTGGATGAATTATTTACCTCATTCTTCATAAGAATTTTTAATTTTATGTTTATTGTGCGTTTTTCTTTAACCTTAAGACCGTCTTTTTAATATACTATTATATTAATGTTAAATATTTTTTATTTAAATTGTTTTAACTCCGCAGAAACGCACAGCGACTTCGAACTTTCATATCATATAACCGACCATCTCCTGGCGGCCGGTAATTTGTCATCAATACAAAAATATAATTATATACTCCTGATATATGTAATCTATTTAATATTTAAGAATCTATAACATAAATTGAAATATTCATTGCGGATCAAAAATCCATTAATTATTTAAATTTTCCTCTAATATATATAACACTTTTTCTTGCATTGTAATTTAATGAAATGACCCATTTGATATAATTATATTGAATTATTTCTTGATAGTAAAAACATAATAAAGGGAAATAATCAAATGTTGAACCCGCTTTTGATTGGTTCGTTTGGATCTTGAATCTCGAAACTCGAATTTTGAATCTCGAATTTCGAATTTTGAATCTCGAATTTCGAATCTCGTATTTGGAAACTCGAATCTCGAATGAGCCTTCTGGGCTTTCGTACGCATGGAAAACAGTTCACACAGAAACCTTATTTAATAGAAAACGATAATGGACTTTTGAGCTTGAATACTGTTTGATATTTCCATATACATGTATTTCATACTTAGTCTACAAAAAGTCTTAGTTAGTCATAAAGTGACATATTTGCTCAAGTTTCTTTAAAAAGATTTCCTTAAATGATGATGTTCTTCTAAATTAAATTCTTGTCATTACAGATTGAGTCATTACAGACAAAAAGGGTCGATAATATACTTATACATATATCAATAATAATCTATCTGCTAACGATTCCAGTTTCTCTATCCTATATAAGTATTCAATGATAATATACTTTCATGTAAATTAGTTGAATCTAATTGGTCGAGAAACATTTGTTAAAAAACACTATTACCCGCTGAATAATGAAACCACGCCCTCCAGCATAGCAACAGTCAATAGTGCTTGACAACGGGTGATATTCCCAAAAAAATTATGCACACACGGTTCACTGGTATATATATTTGTATTAAACATTCAGTATAATATAATAAATACTGCGTGTAGTTGAGTGTACCATCGGCTGCACCTCGGTTAACTATGGTTTTCTTGGGGTGAAAATTTTTAATGTAACACTCAATTACATGCAATATTTATGTAATGTAATTTTAATATAGAACAATGCCTACATTTTTCAACTTTTAAGTACATAGTATAGTGCCATTGTCACCGCCTGGTGTAAGTTTTAGTTAGACACAAACATGCATATATTGGTTTCCATTGCAAATCGATTATTTTTTCTATTCATCTTTAATCAAGAAATCTTCACGCTGAATAATTCCAGGTATTTGATGACATATTTGATGTTTCAGTTAGCAATGCATAGACTTCGCTATTATACTTATATGAAATCGTGGGTGTTATGTTTTAGCTCAGTAGTGCTTACAGTATCCTCGGTATCTTCAAGAAATAAATGCATAATCATTTTTTCGTGAAAAGCAACTTTACATTAATGTAACACAGATCGTAAAAGTGGATTCAGACGATTTTTTTTTTACGAAATCTGTTATTTAACATGAATTTACCATTAATCTTTTCAAGCTCTAAGTAGATGACTATTCCCGCGTAGAATTATATACTCGCGACAAACTTACGTCACATTGAGACTACAGGGGGATGGAGTAAGTTTTGGTCATTCAAAAAAGGAAAAATACAAGGACTGTTTTTAACTGTTAAAATCATACAGACTAGTTACATAGCACAAGTTCATGAAACTCGCGCTCTACACATGATGGAAAATATGCCTACATGCACGTTTGTGTGATATATCCACCAATATCGCCTCTGTAGTCTCAATTGGACGTCACTTTTGCTCGGGTTCCTTCGTGTATATTTCTAGGCTAGAGTATACGTGAAAATGACATTCCATTCAAATCAATTTCCTAGCTGATTATAAAGATAGACACAACAAATGTAAATATACTATTTTATTGATATGAACGTAGTGTATTGCCTTTTTTCCTTCCTATCTCATCTTTCAGGAAATTCCATGCACGGTGCTGTTTGTAAACACTCGCGACCATGAAGTGATTTTAATTGGTCACACTTTTTATCGCCAATTGTTTTCTTTACAAGTCAGTATTAGGCGGCAAAGGATAATTATTTTTTAAAAACATCGGTATATAATACACATTTATGTGTCTTTGATAAAACATTAAATAGAAAAAATACGCGCATAGCAATCAAACGAGTACCATTTTGTATAAATTCTGGAAACTTGCAATTCTCAAAGTAAATTGTTAAAATATGACCTTATTTCTGAATGCTGTCAAGGAAATTTATATAGAAAACCAATTAATTGTTACTAAATGTACTTGAATCATGAAATGAACGTGCTTTTAATGCTTCCCCAAGTATCTAATTACTCCACGAATAAATATCAAATTTCTCTAAAATGGAAAACATGATGTATTTATTCAATGAAAATATTACCTGATTAAGTGACAACCTTTTGAACCCGTTTGCTCAAACGTGTTTGGAATAAAATGGGACTTTTATATTTGAATGCTAATAAAAATGCAACTCTTCTCTTTACGTTGACAAATGGAACCATGATTATCGACAAAGAAACCTTCAATAGAATTTCTCCTGTGATATGAAATTATTTATGAATCATGTCATAAAACAAATTTATGTGTGAAAAACGCAATATGTTTCCTTAAACTTTGGAATATATTGTTGGAATATGTTTACGACCTGTTAGTATTAAATGTAAAAAGTATTTCCTTCCTCAAAAGAGAAATGGAAACATGTTATAAAATCTATACTAAAAATCTTAAATCAAATAAAAAAAGTAGATAAAAAAGCTCTGAAATACTTTATGGTTTCCTATTTCGAAATATCTTTCCAATTGCGTTTCGTAGATGTCTCGTTTTAGCAATCTTAACCATGACGTAATTCATATATACAGTTCTTTACAAAAGTGTCCCTCTCCATAAACCCTTTAGAACATACGGAACTTTTATTTATAAATGAATATTCATAATATCCGTTTCAGATTCGAGGTTTAAAACCAAGCTGCCAAACTGACGCCAGGAGATGTCAGGAAAACTAGACATGAGAGAGGATTACGTGAATTCATTTTTCAGCGGACTGAAGAGGTTGTGGATTAATGGAGACCATAGTGACGTCACAATACAAGTTCAGAACGAGACATTTCACTGCCATAAGACGGTCTTAGCGACTATGTCGTCATATTTTGATTCGATGTTCGGGTCGGGGATGCGGGAATGTGTGACGGGGACAGTTAATATTGAAGACATGAATCCTTCTGCTTTCAAGAAAGCTTTGAGTTTTATCTATACTGGAGAGATAGACTTGGACGTCGAATCTGCCATTACTCTATTACATACATCAGCTTTCCTGCAGATAAAATCGTTGCAAAAGCTTTGTGAGACGTACCTTAAGCCGCATGTAAACGTGGACAATTGTATTCATTTGTGGAAAGTTTCAGTTCTTCACAACTGCCATCTAATTAAAGCAACAGCATTCCGAAAAATTCTTGACACCTTTCCAGAAGTTTCCAAATCAGAGGAGTTCTATCAATTAGATGAGAGAGAAATACTGGAAATCATAAGTCAAGAAAATTTGAATGTATCTTCAGAAGAAGACCTTTGTGCTATCATTTTTGATTGGTTATCCCATAACAAAGGCAGGGGTAATATTGTGAAATTCTTGCAAGAAGTGAGATTAGCATTTGTGAGGCCAGAATTTCTTGTCAAATTAGAACTGAGGCCAGAGATAAAGAAAAACCCGGAGTGCTTGGAAATTATCAACAACGTCAAGTACTATCATCTTCTTCCGGCAAGACAACACGAGATGGCAAACAAAGCTATGCGCCTGCGAGCAACGTCACGACTTGAAAACGTCATAGTCGTCCTGGGAGGATGTGAAGCAACAAAACCGCCATATACGAGAACAACATCGACGTACTGTTACAGTTTCCGGCAGCAGACGTGGTTTAAATTAGCTCCCCTTCCTTACGACCCAGGAATTGAATTTGCCGCCGTGACGTATCACAACGATATTTACATCACAGGAGGAGGAATGAAACAAAACAGCTTCCTGTGGTACAACGTCACTCAGAACGTCTGGTCAGAGTTACCTTCCTTGATCAATGGTCGACGGAGACATGCAAGTGTTGCGGTAACTGATGCAATTTACGTTCTTGGAGGGTACGATAGCGACGGCGGGGCGGGGAATCAAATGCTCAAAAGTGTGGAAAAATACGTCATATCAGAACGTCGCTGGGAACCAGATGGGGAGCTTGTCCTTGCTTTGAGCTGTTTTGCCGCCATTGTCCGAAATGATAAAATATACACCTTTGGAGGAGAAGAAAATACCAGAACAGATACTTCCGCCATTCAGTGTTACGACATGAAAACGAAAACAAGCGTTCTCTTGACCGTAAAGATTCCGATGGCTTGTAAGTTAACAAGATCATGCGTTTTCAATGATCGAATGTTTCTTATCATTTACGATGGGCGCATCATCGAGTATTTTGAGGAGACAGAATCGTCCAAGGCTTCCTGTAAGTTTGTCACGCGTTTTGACAATTTTCAAAGAACTCATTTTGGAGTTGTTGAACATAACGGAAACGTGGTAATCGTAGGAGGTGTAATCGAGAATAAGAAACCCTGCAAGGACTTCTTGCAATTCAATTCGAACACGACGAAGTGTTCAGTGTTAGATGATGTCCTATTTACTCCCCGACTGGTCGATGGTTGTGTAAAAATTAACATTGCCAAGGATCATTTAGTGCCATTGAATGTAGATTCCACCTGCTAGAAACAGGGGATTCAAATGTTTGACTTACACTGTATGTTTGCTTTATCGTATGTGCAATTTAATGTTTTGTAATCAAGTCTTATCAAAATCAAATTTAACTGATTGAAGGTCGCAAAAGATTTAATCTTATCATCAGCAAGTTTATGGCTGTGTTCTTTATATTATACATTTGATGATGATATGAGAGAGAGAGAGAGAGAGAGAGAGAGAGAGAGAGAGAGAGAGAGAGAGAGTTAAATAGAACGCTTGAGTTTTCTTACTGATTTAATCATAACATTTCAAATGCGCCATGTCAGTCATTCAAAAAGTATTCTCATACTCTTTTCTTCACTATAATTTGAAATATTAATAAAAAAAGGGAAAATATGCAGTTCCATCATGGTTTAGTTGTTGTTGAATGAGACAAAAATTATCTGATTAAAAGATATGATTAAGTTTGTTCAACGTTGCATATAACCTGTCTTTTTACAGTAATATTTCTTATAATGGAAAGTTTTTTTTGCTTTTCCTTTACAAACTGCGTAAAAGGTGTAAACGCAGAAATATCCACTATTTCTTTTTTGTTAAACAGAAGAAATATGACATTAAAACGACATGTTTGCTGGAATAAAAATTTAAAACTCATATTCAGAGTCTTTAGATCAGTAAAAAAAACTCTCAAATGGACATATAACAACAAACAAACAATTAATCAGAGAGAGAGAGAGAGAGAGAGAGAGAGAGAGAGAGAGAGAGAGAGAGAGCATGAAAGAATGAGATGGTTTTTGCTGGGAACGACCGAGACCAAATTTAAGTACAGGAAATCTTTCGTAGCATACGGTATTTATTTATTAAGACTATTTGTTACAGAGTTTAAATATTCTGGTGTCATATTTCTAATTTCGTTTTTAATGACATTAGAAATATTCTTACTTCCATTATAAAATAAATTTTCTCGTCGGGTTGCAATGAACGTGTAAAAAAGGCAAAAAAATTCAGACAAAGATTTATTCCCTACGATTTTATTTTTTTAATTTAATATTTACAACAGGATCAATTTAATCTTACGCTTATTACGTAAGATATCGTTCTTGTTATGTTTTCCGTCATGATGCCGATGTCCACCCCTGTAAATCTTCAAAGGCGTTGTTTTCTTGCCACCATAAGATTGATTTCTTGAGCTTGTCATAAATCTCTTTTTTACTTTGTTCTTGTTGAGGCTCTTAAACAAATGTTGATACAAACGTGATTTCTTCTTCCTCTCAGTTTTTCCTTTTTTACCACTACGAGTCGACTTCCTCCTCTCACTTTTAGACATCTTTGGTATCTTCGAGTATCTTTTGGTAAACCTTTTACTAGATGGAGGTTGGAAAAAAGGTTGCCCTTTCAAGTTATTCAGTGAGGTGATATACCTTCTTTTATTTTTTATCCTCGTCAAGATTCGATTCATTGCCTTGTACTTTGCCTTGCTGTATTGCCCAGAAGCCGTTTTCGTCTTGTGTGTTCGGTTGAACGGTATCTTCTTCTTAATCTGTTTTTGCCTTTTCTGTTTTAAAACACCTTGTCTCATTACATGAGGAATTCCTTTGTATTTGTATTTTGGTGTTCTTATTCGATAAATTATGTTTCCAAAGGCGGGTTTTGGATTAAATGTCCCCAATGGCCTCCTGAAGATTCTTCTATGAGAACTATGATACCCAGGAGCAGAGGAGAAGATTTTTCTTTTCATTTTTTTTAGATTGTCGAGTCTCATTGATTTGGGCCTGTACCTTTGTTTGTTCATGTTCTGCAGTGAACGTTGCATTGCTAAATATCTTTCTTTGCTTGTAATCTTAGGTGTCTTCTTGTATTTTGACCTCTGTTTTGACGGTGTTAGGCCTATATCATGTCTGTACTTATATTTTCCTTTATTTAGATTTCTAAGGTAACGTTTCGTGGAAAGGTACTTTCGTTTGCTTGAATTTCTCGGTGCACTTTTGAGTATACCTTTCTGCTTAATCGGTATCAGTCTGTGTCCATAGTTGACAGGGAACATGACGTGTTCTCTTTTTGCGATCTTTTGCATACTTCTATATTTTGGATTGCTTAATCTTTGAATGACATCTCTCATAATGCCTTTTGGTTTTACAGCGCCCTGGAAGAAATTAACTTTATAGTAACCCTTATAAGTCCCTGCATAATATTTACCATTCGACTTCCCTACCACTGTGCCTTTATATAAATCTTTCCGCCCTTTATATTTTCCATTGACCATGCTACCCTCCAAATTTTTGTGGAAATCCCCTGATGTTTCCCTTGACCAGTATTTCTCTCTAAAAACTCCACCTTTGATCCGCCCTTGGATTTCTCCATGGTTTTCTTTGGACTTCCCATAGAGAGGAATTTTTCCATTCAAATTATCGTAATATGCCTGATTATTTCTTCCAATTGATGAACTTGGATTTATTAGTACATACTTTCCAGGAAAAACGGCTGGAAAGAACTGATTCTTTGAAATGAAGAAAAAGAAAACATAATTATATTAATTATATAATACATAGTTATTATACAAAACATTCATGGAATAAAGAATAATTTTGATAAACTACGTTTGCCCCACTATATGAAAATAGGTACATTTCAAAATTGTCCAGATTTCATTACTTATTAACATCAGTTCAATAACACAATGAAAAGAAAAAAAACTTCCCTTTAACTTGATAAACAGGTGGATCAAATTAAAGGAAGATAGGATTCATGGGAAAAATATTTAATGCTATATCTGTATTGATACTTACCGGGTATCCATCTGTACAAGTAGTAGAAATATTTAGAATGGATAGAATTATGTTTTTTTTTAAATTATACCCTACACGTGTAAATAATATATTCAATAGAAAAAAAATACGAATATCATTGTACAATAGGTATCATTTACAAACGATTTTGGAAATAATTGTTCTTTTTAATTTGTAAATTATTTCTAAATATAGAAATTAAATTCCCCAAGTTAGACACTTGATAGCAGATAATGCCACATATTATTACATGTATATAGATAAAAACTTTAATACTTACATGCATTGATTGAAACATTGCAAACAATAGCTTGTGTAAAAATTAAAACGATGGTTTTAACCATAATAAAATCGCGAGTGTTAGTCCTTGGACGCTAGAAAAAGCTGGTCCTTCCCTATTTTATCGTGCTCAGTGATCTTTACAAATAATGAACTAATCATGCAGATAATCTTACCAGAAGAAGGACGAACAGTGTATGTACTTACATGTACAAGGTATTTATGTTATACTTAAAGGTATTTATGATATCTACATAATCAAGAGAGAGAGAGAGAGAAAGAGAGAGAGAGAGAGAGAGAGAGAGAGAGAGAGAGAGAGAGAGAGAGAGAGAAAGTGTATTTAACACTTTTGTTGGTAAATTTGTATTTTAAATATTGAATTCATTTTGTTAGTAAATTTTTAACAAACAAAATAAATAATGAATTATCTGCGGCTCGAAAGCAAGTCACTAGCGCAACGCTGTCCACTATCACCGAGGCCTCGCGAGACCGAGAACTCCACTTCCTGGTAAACAGCCACGTGGAGAAATTGACATTGCCACATGGATCTGCACGTACTCCATCATCTGATACAGACATCGTCCCTTAGTCATTACCACCCAACTTCTTACGCAACTCAACTTCTTCTGTTATTTTAACATCCATACAAATCGGTTTCCTGACCATGCTGACCAACTCCCGTTTCATCAACTGCAACATTGCATTCAATATGGCGGCGGAGAAGTGACAAAGTGCCTATATATGTTCGTGCTTCCGACAACCTTAATCTAAAACGTCATAGTCGTCCTGGGAGGATGTGAAGCAACAAAACCACCATACACGAGAACGACTGCGACGTACTGTTACAGTTTCCGGCAGCAGACGTGGTTTAAATTAGCTCCCCTCCCGTACGATCCAGGAATTGAATTTGCCGCCGTGACGTATCACAATGATATTTACATCACAGGAGGAGGAATGAAGCAAAACAGCTTCCTGTGGTACAACGTCACTCAGAACGTTTGGTCAGAGTTACCTTCCTTAATAAATGGCCGTCGCAGACATGCAAGTGTTGCGGTTACTGATGCTATTTACGTTCTTGGAGGGTACGATAGCGACGGCGGGGCGGGGAATCAAATGCTCAAAAGTGTGGAAAAATACGTCATATCGGAAAGGCGATGGGAACCGGTTGGAGAACTTGTTCTTGCTTTGAGCTGTTTCGCTGCCATTGTCCGAAATGATAAAATATACACCTTTGGAGGAGAAGAAAATACCAGAACAGATACTTCCGCCATTCAGTGCTACGACATGAAGACGAAAACAAGCGTTCTCCTGACCGTAAAGATTCCGATGGCTTGTAAGTTAACAAGATCATGCGTTTTCAATGATCGAATGTTTCTTATCATTTACGATGGGCGCATCATCGAGTATTTTGAGGAGACAGAATCGTCAAAGGCTTCATGTAAGTTTGTCACGCGTTTTGACAATTTTCAAAGAACTCATTGGAGTTGTTGAACATAACGGAAACGTGGTAATCGTAGGAGGTGTAATCGAGAATAAGAAACCTTGCAAGGACTTCTTGCAATTCAATTCGAACACGACGAAGTGTTCAGTGTTAGATGATGTCCTATTTACTCCCCGACTGGTCGATGGTTGTGTAAAAATTAACATTGCCAAGGATCATTTAGTGCCACTGAATGTAGATTCCACCTGCTAGAAACAGGTGATTCAAATGTTTGACTTACACTGTATGTTTGCTTTATTGTATGTGCAATTTAATGTTTAGTAATCAAGTCTCATAAAAGTCTTTAACTCATTGAACGTTGCATATGATTGAATCTTCTGCACTTTTATGGCTGTGTTCTTAAACTTTTAATGATAATTGAGAGAGAGAGAGAGAGAGAGAGAGAGAGAGAGAGAGAGAGAGAGAGAGAGTCGCTTAAATAGAACACTTGAGTTTTCTTATGGACTTTTCAAATGTCCCATGTCAAACATTGAAAAAGTATACTCCTACATTTTTCTTCACTATAATTTGTTTGAGTTAATAATAAAAAATGGAAAGTATGCATATGTACATGATTTACTTCTTGTTGAACGAGACAAAGTTTATCTGATAAAAAGATATGATTAAGTTTGTTCAACGTTGCATATAACCTGTCTTTTTACATTAATATTTCTTATAACGGAGTTGGGTTTTTTTGTTTTCTTTTACAAACTGCGTAAAAGGTGTAAACGCAGAAATATCCACTATTTCTTTTTTGTTAAACAGTAGAAATATGACATTAAAAACGACATATTTGTTGGAATATAAAATTTATAACTCATATCCAGAGTCTCTAGATCAAGAAAAACTCTCGAAAGGACGTATACCAACAAACAAAGAGAGAGAGAAAGAGAGATCTAGAGAGAGAGAGAGAGAGAGAGAGAGAGAGAGAGAGCATCAAAGAATGAGATGGTTTTTGCGGGGAACGACCGAGAACGAATTTAAATACAGGAAATCTTTCGTAGTACACAGTATTTACTTATTAAGACTATTTGTTACAAAGTTTAAATATTCGCGTGTTAT